AGGGTCCTCTGTTTCTGGACTGTAAGATTAACTGCTCCCCCATTTTTGTAATAAAACGCCAACCTTTACAGTTGTATGCCACCATTCTTGTTCTCTGTACCCATACTACTTTCCCACCATTCAGTTAGACTGTGTCCCTTAAACTTTGTCTTCTGTGTTTTTGAGTTTCTGTTGTCAGGATCTCATGGAAGTCATTCTTTTGAAGAGCAAACTGCTCACAGCGAACCTGTCTACTAGCTGAGCAGAACTGATATTTCATTTACAGATAACGTGTGGCATCATTTTGGTTCAGGGCTTAAAGAGTTTCCAGACAGTAGAATCAGGTTCCTAAAATAAAAGAGTCACAATCTGTTTTCTGAGAGAATTTTGAAATTGTGTTCCACACTTTCCCTCTGTTTGATCAGGATCCATGTATTGGTAGTCACTTCTTGATCTTTTTCCAGGGTGGGGCAGGCGAGAAGGTCACAGATGGACTTGATGAGGCTCACACGGCTCTTCTCTGGCCCCTGTCCTGGGGGACTGTCCATCCTCCAGCATCTCAGTGCCCATGGAGTCAGATGGACTAGGGGCAGAGAGGGACCTTCATGGTTGCGGGCCTTGGGGCTGACTGGGCAGGCACCAGCGGCCTTCAGCAGCTTCCCCTGTGAACTGCCCCCTAGCCAGAGAAACCAGAAGGACATGGGTGCCTTCAGCTCTGACCTGAGCCAGCCTGGCCCCACAGCTGCAGTGGATAAAGAGGAGGAAGAGGAGGAGCGCTTTGGGACTCTCTCCAACAAATATTCCTCCCGGAGAATGTTCCGCAAGTCAACAGCTCAGTTGTACAACCTACAGCTCAAGGAACAAAGTATGGAGGATGACAAGGAAAAGGGGCTGGAGCCAAAGCCGTGGCGGGGCCCCCAAAACACCCCCCACTGGTACTTCTTTCAGTGCAAACGACTGATTAAAGAGGGGAAGGTGAGGAACCTGTGGATCTTGCCCCGGATGCTCAGTGTTTTGGGAGTGGGCTGGAGGCCAAGCCTGGCTGCAGGTTCAGAGGGGTTGTTGAGGCAGCCTGTACCCCCAGTGCTGCTCTCCCGCCCCCCTGGGGGAAGGGCTGTTCAGGGCCCTGTGACTGTGAACGACCCATGGGCACCGTAGCGGTGAACACACCCAGCAAGCTGAACAGAACCTGGCTTCCCAAGCAGCCAGAACTCGGGGATTGCCACAAAGTCGGGGCTCTCCAAGGGTGAACAGGAAGCCCAGGATGCAGGGGCAGGGTAGTGCCAGGTTCCCCAGGGTCACGTTTTCTGAGGACTGAGTGCTTGCCCTTGGCTCCCACTCTGGGGACACAGATGGAAGAGGCCTGGTACCTGCCTGGGGAAGGCTCCCCATCTCACTGGAGGATAATAGGGTATAGTCCCGGCTGAGAGGTAGGGGAGCTTGGGAGGGAAAAAGCTCCTGTGCTGGGGAGCCGGAGTGGGTGTCTGGCCCCGGGGCAAGGCAGGTCCCTCCAGGCCTGTCCTGAGTCCCTCCCTGTGTCCCTCCCCAGCTGGCCGAGGCCCTGGACCTGTTTGAGCGGCAGATGCTCCAGGAAGAACGGCTGCAGCCCCTGGAGTGCAACTACACGGTGCTGATCGGAGGCTGTGGGCGGGTGGGCTACCTGAAGAAGGCCTTCCGGCTCTACAATGACGTGAGTCAGGGGCGTGGGTGCGGGGATCGGGCTCCAGGTTCACAACCATGTGTCCCCATTGGCACACCCAGGACATGTGCTTGCAGTTCCCCCCCACCCCACCGACTTCAGTGTCACCACCCTCTATAAAATGGAGGAGACATGGGCAGCCAGGCAATATCTGCTATCTTCCTGTTCCGTTGCCACCACCAGCTAATGCTAGGGGCTCTTCTTGCCCTCCCTCCATGTGCCCAAATCTGCGTCTTTCAAAGGGTCCTTGCATTCCTTTGAGGAAGTTGTTGCCTTTAAAGGCCTTGGGTGTGTTTGTTTCCCAAGGTGAGATCTGGGGTTTGATGCCCCCCACCTTCCTTCTTCAGACCGGTCCCCTCAGAGCTGGGTTTCGGAGTCCCGCCTCACTCTAGAGCGTTCAGATGTGTTGTTGGAGGTGACTGTTAGGGCCTGAAGTGAAGTCCATTTTGGGAGTCCCTGTGGTCGATGTGGGTTTGGACAGCCAGGCTCTGTCATACCTCTCTCCTGCTGGCTTCTGGAACTGCCTCTGATCTTCACCTACCCCACCAGATGAAGAAGCGGAACCTGGAGCCCTCTGATTCCACATACACAGCCCTGTTCAACGTCTGCTCTGAGTCGCCCTGGAAGGAGTCTGCTCTGCAGAGCGCCCTGAAGCTCCGCCAGCAGCTCCGGGCCCGAAACATCCCGCTCAGCTTGAAGACATACCATGCCCTGCTGAAGATGGCCGCCATGTGTTCAGACCTCAGGATGTGCCTCGATGTCCTTAAGGTGGGCATCCTTTCTGCCTCCAGTGCCTGTGAGAACACAGGAATGTTCCGGCCAGTGGAGTCCTTTCCTCGGAGGCCTGCTGACAGGGAGTTTGACCCCTGACCAGTGAGGACAGCACGTTATATGGGCTGTCCAACTGGGGTCTCCATTGGGAAAGAGGGGAGGCGCGAGACCCTGGTGTTCAGGGGACTGCGGGGTCCAGGCTGCTTGTGTTGGGCCCGAGAGAAATGGATATGTGAAGATGGGGAGTACCAGGCAAGGACCAGTCCAGAAGTTTCCAGGTACGAGGCTGCATCAGGGTGCTGGTCTGAATCTTCTGCTATGCCCCTGACCACACTGGGAGATGGATTTTTAGGCTCAGCTCTTGAGCAGGAAGGGGCACAACAAAGTGGTAAATGGAAGTTTTGGCAAAGAAGTGAGGAAGGTGCTCAGACCCCACTTCAGGAACTTGAGGTCAGAGCAATGTGGGCCCAGTGTGCCCTTAGCAGCCTGGGTGTTGGCATTTCTCCTCAGGCAGCTCCCCTGTCGTTGGCTAGTCCCCACGTTGGCTGCCCTCTGCGAGTCAGCTCAGAAAGGTGTTGAGGCCAAGGCAGGCGCCAGAAACTTCCAGAAGAGGCCACTGTCCAAAGGTGTCAGCGTGGTATTTTAGGCAGGCCTCTGACAGGTGTATGAGAGCAACCATTAGAGACAGCTTTGGTGCCCAAGAAGAGCTAAGTCGGTGACAGATGGGGTCCAGGGCAAGGGCTAGCACCCATGCTGATGAGAATAGGAAGAGGGTCTTGAGGAGAACCTGAGGTGCCTGAGAAGTGGATGGAGAGGTGGGAGAACGTGAAACAGGAGGAACATCTCAAAGCAGCGGCCAACCCAGATTCCGTGAGAGAAGCCATTGGTCACTCTCCCCATGAGCACTGGCTGTGTGCATGCCCCATGGTGATCCCCTAAGCAAGTCCTAACTGTGACCCCACTTCCCAGATGGGACTAGGCCTGTGGTAGGGTGGGGACAGGAGCAGTCCTGGCCCCTCAAGGACGGGCTGAGAGTAGCTGCCGAGGGGGCTTTGGGGCAGAGTGAGGTGAGAGACCTGTGATGCTGGAGCCAGGACGAGGCTGAGGAGAAGGGGCTCTGGAGGAGAGACGGGCACAAGTTGGGCCTCTCTGTTCAGGAGTTGGCTCCCAGCCATCCTGGCACCAGAATTGGTGTGGTTTCTTCCTGGAACCTGTGCCCAGCTCACCCTGCATTCTGCTTCCACTCTGCCCCCCAGGAAATCATCCACAAAGGTCATGTGGTCACAGAGGAGACCTTCAACTTGCTGCTCATGGGTTGCATCCAGGACAAGAAGACGGGCTTCCGCTACGCCCTGCAGGTCAGTCCCTCCAGACTTGGTCCCCACCTCCCATGTCTCCCTGTCCATGGGGCGCTCTGTTGAGCCCCCCATGCTGGCTGCGGCCCGTTGCTACCTGTGCAGGTGCTGTGCTCCCTGTTGCCCTTGGGCCTTTCCATCCGCCCCTTGCAGAATGTGATCCCCTATGGCAAGTCCTAACTGGGAGCCTGCTCTGTGTTCCCCACTCTCTGCTGCCTCTGCCTCTAACTCAGACCCCCCCAACCTACCGCCCCAGACGCCTGGTGTCGTTCATCCTACCCACCCTGAGTCCCCCAGTGTTTCCTGGAGGTGATCCCACCCTGGGCCCCAGAGATGAGCCCCTTCATTGGGTGGGAGTTAGTATCTGTGTTGGTACCACAGCAGTGGTCATTCTGTCTCTTGATGGGGGCACTCCCAGGAGATAACCTTGCACCTTCCAGCATGCAGTGGGGCCTCCAGTATCCGCTGTCTAGGAGCTTGTGGAAACAGGGTCTTGGCCCCATCCAGGTCTCCTGTGTCTGCATTTTAGAAGATCCAAGTGGTTTCTCTTCACAGAGTTGATCCAGATGGCTTCTCTGCACAGAGTTGAACCCAGTCATCTGGGACAACCCTGGACTAGGGCCACTGTCCACCTCCCGTGTCCTAGGCAGCAACACTCTATTAGACAGTGGCCTCCTCCCAGCCGAGATTGTTGTCCTTCTGGCCTTTGACCTAGATCTGTCCCCTTGTTGTTGGGTGTCCAACTCATATCAACCCCATGTGGCAGAGTAGAACTGCCCCATAGAGTCTTCTTGGCTGCCATCTTTATGGGATGGTCTTTCTCCCTCAAGCCACTGGGTGGGTTTGAACTCCAGCCAGTCAGTTGGCAGCCAAGTACTTAATTGTTGCACCACCAGGCCTCCTTAGGATCTACCCTACTCAGGAAGAATGTGTAAGGACAGTGCCAACCAGTTTGTATTGAGCTGGCCACCACACTCTCCATTTTATAGGCAGGGCAGCTGCAGCCCACAGAGTAAAATAACTTACTTAACGGTCCCACAGTCAGTGAGTGTCAGAGCTGGGATATGAACTGAGAGGTTTGTCTGAGGTTCACACTGGAATTCCTCCTGCCCATGGAGCATTTGTGTACCTGCCAAACCTCAGCTGTTAGCTGGTCCCTGTGGGATGTGGCAGCCAAGACCCTTATTGAAACCCCTGCTCTGGCTGGCAGTGTTCCTGCTGTTCCAGCAAGAAGTCAAGGGCACAGCGTAGGTCATGTGGCAGAGCGGCCTCTCTGGAACGTGTGGCCAGGAGGACTGCCCAGGCTGTGAGCCCTGTTGCTGACCGTAGCGTCCTGGTGGCCCGAGTGTGGCACTGAGTACTCAGCGGCTCCTGGTCCCAGGACCAGCGAGAGGTGATGCTCACACTGTGTTGTTCTCTGTCCAGTAACTACCCTCCTGAGAGGCAGGCCTGGGCAGGGCACTGGGAATGCAGCCTGGTCCTTTTGGCCCTCCTGCCCACACACTGAGGGCAGATGGATGAGAGTGTGAGAGGACAGTTTGGGGGCAATCGGGGAAGGAGAGGAGGGACGCCTGCCCTTGTGATGTCTCCCAGACAGTTTTCAAAGTTCTAAGAGTTTTAGCTGCTCCGAAGTCTGGAGCCACGTTAGCCACTTTGCAGATTCTCTCTGCGCCCTTTCCACTTGCTCTCCCAATGGCTGTCTTCCAGAGCCATCTGTGCTGGGGGCTCTACAAAGCAGGGGGTCTTTGCGCTGAGCCTCCTCTCTCTCCGAGCAGGTGTGGCGGCAGATGCTGAGTCTGGGGCTCCAGCCCAGCCTGCATGGCTACAACCTGCTGCTGGGGGCTGCACGGGACTGTGGCCTGGGGGACTCAGCGGTGGCCACGGAGCTGCTTTTCAGGCCCCTGGGGGAGGCAGTCCTGCTCCAGCCCCCAGGGGCTCGGTGGCGGCGGGCCAGGAGGACTGCCCAGGCTGTGGTAGGTGGCATTGTGTCTGCCAGGCTGCATGTGGAGGCCCTGGAGAGGCAATTGTTTTTGGAACCTTCTCTGGGGCTAAAGGGGTCTCCAGAATCCAGGGAGACTAGAGCCCAGTGTGAAGTGGACACTGTGGAAGAGCCAGACCATACAGTGGCCCTTACCCCTGTGACCCAGCAGTCCCCTCCCTCAGGCCTGGAGGTCAACCTCCTGGCCCTTGGGGCAGTGCCTCCAGCTGTGGTCTCACTGGGAACAGTGGCCACCCCAGCAGATAGGCTGGCCCTGATGGGGGGCATAGACGGCTTCCTTGGCAACATGTTGGAGCACGGGCTGCAGCCCAGCATCAAGACCCTCACCCTGCTTGCTGAGGTGGTGGCGCCTGGCAGCCCCTCAGAGTCCTCACTGCTGGCCACCCTGGACAAGAACCACATAGAGGCAGACGTGACGTTCTTCAACACGCTGATAAGGAAGAAGAGCAGGCTGGGCGACCTGGAGGGGGCAAAGGTGAGGCTCGGGGGGCGCACACACTGACCCTGCCAGGTGGCCCTGGGCACACCTCAGCAGACAGATATGAGCTCCTGCGAATTGCCAGGACCCTTTAATGAGCCAGCTGCCACACCTTTGCAGGTGGTAATGGTGGTCAGATGGGTGAATGCCCTGGGGACGTGTGGGAGTATTCTGAGAAGGACTCTTCGAGGTAGCCCATGACATCTGGTGATTCGAGTGCTGCCCTGTGACAGTGTCTCCTGCGGTCAAACCCTCCCTTTTACTGCCCTGACAGCTAAACACTGCCCTGTGTTCGTCACACCTTGGTGTCTACTGGTCCCACTGGGGGTCCTGCTGGGGTGGCTTTCTCTTCTTCATAGGAGGGGCCAGTCACATCCACACTCACACACTGATGAGGTTGGGGGGGGCAGTGCATGAACTCTGGCATCGCTGCTGTCTCTGCTCCTATCCACCAGGACGTGGAGCCTGGTTGGCACGCTGCCCTTTGGCTGTGAAGCCACAGTCTCCTATAGTTGAGCCTGTGACTCAGTTCTCCTCATTTGCTGAGATGGCAGTGGCGTGACCCAGGACTGGGCACCAGGATGAGGTCTGAGTGTCGCCTTTCTTGTCAGAAGCCCTGGTTGGATACTTGGAGGCCCGGCCTGTGAGCCCCTGGGCAGAGCTCACTGACCTCCATGAGCTTTGTTCCAGGGACCCCTCACCTCAGGCCGGGCTCCCTTGGCTGGCACTACCCACACACCTGGCCTTACCACTGGGTGCTCAATGAGTATTGGAGGACTGGTTCTGGGGTGGCCTGCAGAGGGGTATGGGGAGAGGATGAACTGTGAAGGGCCAGGGGGTACCTGTGGAGGGGGCGCCATGGTGGGGCTGGGCAGGCCGGAAGTAGGTCCCACACCGAGCAGCATGACTTGAGAAGACGGCTGTGAGTGTTGAGCTGAAACCTGGGTGGTGCTCATTCAGCTTCTAGTCCAGCGCCTCACCCCAGAAGGTTCTGTGACAGTAACAAACACATCTGTCCCCACAGGCGCTGATACCAGTTCTGGCAAAGAGGGGCCTCATCCCCAACCTGCAGACATTCTGCAACTTGGCCATTGGGTGCCGCAGGCCAGAAGACGGCCTGCAGCTCCTGGCTGACATGCAGGTGAGCAGCCCTATAAGTCCCTGGGCCCTGCCACCTTCTGGTGACTGCATTGTCACCTACAGCAAACCCACAGCCAAGAGCTGAGGAGACGGTGTCTCTGTTGGACCGGGAAGAGCAGCCTTGTCTTCCTTTGAGGTGCTGCAGGCTCCAAGACTCCGGCTGGGCTGGGCCCACACCGTGGGACCAAGGCTGTCCTTGGGGAGGTGGGAGCACCGCCCATGGTGGGGTGTCTGCTGGCTGTGCCTCTGTGGTCCGCTTGGTCCCAGCCCCCACAGCATCTCAGTGATTTTTGGTGCCCATGACGTTTCAGAAATCCCAGATGACTCCCAACACCCATGTCTACAGCGCCCTCATCAATGCCGCTGTCAAGAGGCTGGACTATGCCTACCTCATCGACATCCTGAAGGACATGCGCCAAAACAATGTCCCTGTGAACGAGGTGGTCATCCGCCAGCTCGAGTTTGCAGCCCAGTATCCCCCAACTTTTGACCGGGTATGTGCACCCAGTGGGGAAGTGCTTTCGCCTCCCTGACCGCTGTCCTACCTCAGGCTGGCTCTGCAGGTTTCCCTGTGAAGCGTAGGAGAGGCCAGGCTGCTTTCCGGGTTCAGTGTCAGCCACTCTGGCCTCTGTCACCATTTGGCCCCCCACCAGGTGCCTACCGGTTGGTGCCTTTTGTAGCCCCTTGGCCTTCCATTAGAACCTTGGTGGTGCTGTGGGTTAGGTGTTGGGCTGCTAACCGCATGGTCTGTAGTTCAAACCCACTACCTATTCCTCGGGGGAAAGATGAGGCTCTCTGCTCCCGTAAAGCTCTAGTCTTAGAACTCTTATACAGGGTCACTGTGTCACTATGGGGTCCCATTGTGGCACTGTGGGTTAATGCACTGGACTGCAAAGTTGGTTTGAACCGCAAGCTCACCAGACACTCCTAGGAAACCCTATACAGGGTCTCTATGGGTTGGAACCGACTCAACTGCACTCAACGACAGCATGAGTAAGAAGTGACTTGATGGCAGTGGGCTTGGGGATTTTTTGTGGGGGGAGTGGGATCTTTGATAGAAGATTTTTTGTGGGTGCAGTGGTAAAGTGCTCAGCTGTTAACCAAGAAGTCTGGTTCAAACCTACCAGCTGCACTGGGGGAGACAGAGGAAGCAGTCTGCTTCTATAAAGTGATAGTCTCAGAAATCCTGTGGGGCAGTTCCATCCTGTCTTACAGGTACTTGACTCAACAATGGAGTGTTTGGGGTTTTCCTCAGAGACACCCTCTCACATGCCCCTTCCCCCCATTACCTACAGCAGTTTCCTAGACACTGTGTCTCACAGCCAAGCTGTGTGTCCAATGAACCACAAGCCTCACTGTCCTACCTGCAGCAGGAGAGTGGCAGAGTGTCTTAGTGGTCCTCTTTAACTCTAAGGGGGTTCCTCAGGGTGATTGATTTTGGGGTTGAGTGAGTCTGGCCCAATCAGAGCATCTGGAGCCACTGTATCCTGGAGGACTGCAACACAGGGAGGGAGGGGACCCTCAGGACCGTGTGGCGCGGGCCAGGATGACCGTGTAGTAAGGCACGTGAGCGCCACCCTGAGGACACAGTGGAATGAGTGAGGCAAGGCAGCATGGGTCTTTCCGTACTGGTTTCTCAGTTCCTTACCTGTTCCCAACACTAGTGTTCTGTTGGTTATGGGCTGCAGGGCCCACGAGGGGCCTCTCTGGTCCAGCGCAGAGAGGCTACCTCATGAACAAACAAGGGTAGGACAATAATCAACTCATCCTCCTGCGTCTACAACCTTCTCTCATTACCGTGGGCAGTCTCTGGGATATGTTTTGGTCTGGAGTTTACTTTTTTTGGTACATTCCTCTTTTTCCTTGCCCCCTTTTCTGTGGTGATGGCTGCATCTGTGCCGACAGAAGGGGTCAGAGGGGAGGTGGTGGGTGACATCCATGGGTACAGGAGCACAGCAGAGCACGCTCAGTAAGAGGAGGAATGTTGCTGGGCTCTGGGCCTACCTGGTGGCACACCACACTTGCCTAGGACTCATTCCTCTCCCGTCAAGTGTGTCCATGCTGAGTGTTAACCACTTTCCTACCCTCTTGCTGTCATCTACCGGCAGCAGAACCAGCAGGGCCCAGGTTGTGAGGCCCAAGCCAGCTGTGTGACTGGATTAGCTGAGGGCTCACACAGTGATTCTAACTGTGGCTTTCCCCTTCACAGTACAAAGGGAAAAACACCTACTTGGAGAAGATCGATGGCTTCCGAGCTTACTACAAGCAGTGGCTCCAAGTGATGCCAGCTGAGGAGATGCCCCACCCCTGGGAGAAATTCAGGACCAAACCCAAGGGGGACTGAGGCCCTGAGACAGAGGCCTTGGGGTCAGGTGACACTGCTGTAAAAGAATGAATATAAGCCTGAGAGACTGTGAAGTTTTATTTTTACAAATCATAACTGATGAATATTGAAGCCTGCCCGAGGAACCCATAGTCAGTTGTCATGCTGGGCAGAGAAGAGTGGTAGGTGGCATGAAGACAGAGCCGGCAAAGTCCAGGGTGCACAGGGGTCAGCCTGAAGGGCCTCAACCGGAGCAGCCCCGGCAGCCGCAGTGCGTGCACTCAATGATACGACCCTGCAACAGAGACGAGGCTGCTGAGAGCTACAACCACCTGAGGGTCAGAGAGACATGCACAGCCCCTTTCCTGCTGAGGACTGGACCTCTGCTAGTTCTGGAGAGGGAACACCCAGGTCTCTCATGAAGACGGAAATAACTACTGTGTTCCAACTAGTTACGTTGCCAAAGGAAAACAAGTATGGAAGTAACTCTCCTCATTACTGCTGCTCAGGGACCTGGGGCCTGCAGTTTGTGGTTCCGTTTACACCTCTGTTAGAGATGCTACACTCTGAGTCAACAAGATCTACAACGAGAAATCCAACTAGGTCGGACTGCTCCAGTTGCAGGGCTGGGGTAGCACACCCCAACCAAGACATCACCACCTACCTACACCCAGAGCTTCCATCTGGGATGCAGCCCACCCTTATTCTCTCCTATTTGCTTGTGTGCCACTGCTGAGCACAAAGACCCCAAAACTTCCGGCATCACTATGGGGAAGAAGGCCTGGAAACCAGGGGCTGAGATGGATGGGACTAGAGGAAGGGATGGATCCGCCCTCTGATTTAAGCCCCCTGGCCACCTGTTTATAGGTAATAAAACAGGTTGCAAAGGAATTCAGTAATGTGCCCTCCGTGAAGTGCAGCTTAGTCCCCAAAAAGAACCCCTCAGTGATTCACTCCCTACAAGGGTGGCCATTAGGACATCCAGCAACAAAGTCCCACACCATCACAGCAAAGTAACATCTGATTCTGCCGGGTTTCTCAGGCTAGAAGTGAGCCCTGCTCACTGCGGAAGGCCTTACCACTTCCAGCTTGCTCTTGGGAACTCGGCAGATGCAGTTGGTGCCGAAGTTGGTGTCCCGGGTCTGGATGCAGCGTAGGCAGCACAGGTTCTCGTAGCCCTGCTTCTTCCACTTTGCGATCAGGTTTTTGTCAGCATAGCCTTCTCTGATACAGTACTCATACAATTCTGCCAAGAACACAGGGAACAGGGCTCAGGTGTCCCCTCACCCTGCAGGGAAAAGTCCTCTCCAACCTCGGACCCACCCCTCCCTTTTCTTAATGCTAAGACAAAATCACAATGCTGCTGGGCTTGCAAGAATAGAGATCACTACTTAAATAACAGAAAGGCCATGAGAATTTATGACAATTACCTCTGCTTATGGCTTTCCGTTTGTAAAAGAGGTCAAAGATGTAGCGGGTCTTCTGGTGGTGGATCCTGAAGATGGGCCACAGAGACTCCACTTTCCTCTTCCCCTCGTGAGGCTCCGTTTCCGCTGGGGAGAGAAAACTAGGCAGGTCGGTCTGGGCAATGTAGTCACTCGGATGCCTATGATCGAAACGATCACCAACAAGTGTTGGTGAAGATGAGACTGGAACCCCCATACACTGCTAGTGGGAGTGGAAGACGGTGCAGCTGCTTTGGAAAAGAGCCTGGCAGCTCCTCAAAAGATTAAACCGTCTGGCCCAGCATTTTCACTCCTGACCGACTCATGTACTGATGTGCAAAGTGGCACTGTTCACAATAGCCATCAACTGATGGGCAACAAGTCATGTTGTTGTTGTGAAGTGCTGTCGAGTCAATTCTAACCCATGGCAACTCTGTATAGGGTTTCTGAGGAGCAGCTGGTGAGCCTGAACACCGACCTTGCTGTTCGGACTGTTTTGCAGTCTGGTGTGTTAACCCACAGTGCCACGCCAGGACAAAGGACAAAACATGGCAATAAAAAACAATGAACAAACCTTGGAAATACTGTGCTAAGTGACAGAAGCCAGTTCCAAAAGACCATCGACTGCATATTCTATGTGTAATGTCTGGAATAGGCTAATCCACAGAGACAGAGGGGTCAGCAGTTGCCCCTTGGGAAAGCTGGAATGGAGAGTGACTGCTAGTGGGCCCTGAGTGACTTTTGGGGGCTGATTGTGGTTATGGTTGCAAAATGAATGTACTTGAGGTTGACTCAACGAGGCACATTTGAAAGAAGAATCTTACAGTATGTGTTTTTTATCTCAATAAAACCATTATTTTAAAAAGAAGGCATATAATTTGAGTATCATTGTTTTAAATTGAAAATGCCTTTGAAATGAGATAAACAAGGAGACAAAGATCAGAATCCTGCCAAGACACTTCGATGACCACTCTGGTCTCTGCACGCCCACCCCATAGCAGCACGTTCTCTACAAGATAGCAATCATCTTTACAGTCATCTCTAATTCCATTTCCCAACCAGCCAAAAAGTCCTCCAGGAAAGGAAATAAAGGAAAAAGTCTAATGGTTCTTTACGTAGGGGTCTGCACGAGAGGACGGAGGACCAGACAGCAGTGCACACCTGCCTCCACACAACGCTCTACTTTGAGCAGTTGTGGTGAGCTAGGGAATACTGGAAGGTTCCTTACTCTTCCCCCCCCACGCCAAATTTTATTTATAGCAATCTTCCCAGTTCACCCTGAATAAAGGGTGTGGCGCTAAACGATAATCATTAAACTACTAACTGCAAGGGTGGCGGTTCAAACCCACTAGCCGCTCCTCGGAAACACAATACAGGGTTGCTAGGGGTCAAAGCCAACCAGATGGCACAACAGTCCAAGATAAGATCGATTACTCCTAAGTTTTGGGTATCTAGAGGTTTCCTAACCAAACCAGTTTTGAAAAAAAGGAGGCAAAGTAACACTGCTGGAGTTGTAGCCTTGTAATTACAAGTTGTTGTTCAGTGCCGTCGAGTCAGTACCAATTCATAGTGACCCTTTATAGGGTTTCTGAGGAGCAGCTGGTGCGCTTGAACTGCCGACCTAGCAGTTCAAAGCCACCTTGCAGTCTAGCTCATTAACCCATAGTGCCACACCAGGATTCCTGTGATTATAAGAGTTACCCACAAACATTGAAAAGATGGAAAAAGTAATTCAGCAAGTTAGTCATGCTGTGGATACATGGATGCACGTGGCTTTGGATAATTTCCAAAGGCAGCTGATGACAAGAACTCAGCAGGCAGGACTACCACAGGGAAGTGAGAGGCTGGTACACTTAAGTGATTGGAAAAAGTGTCAAAGGCCCACAAAAAGAATTTGAGTAAAAATGTGAATGAGAGCAGTAATTCCAAGTAAATCTACTTCATATAATTTTAATTATATGTATCTACAAAACAGCAGTAATTAGAGGTAGACTGCCAATTGGATCTACATTCCCTAAACCTATATGCAAATTGACTAAATAAATGAATGCATTTCTAAAAACCGTATCATCCCTGCTCTTTTGGGTTCAGGTGTCTACAGTAATCCTAGAGAACCTTGGTGCGGTGCTTCAAATCCATCAGCCGCTCTCAGAAGCCTTATACAGGGTTGCTATGAGTCAGAACCGACTCAATAGCACTTAACAACCACGTAGTGAATAGAAGTTCCTGGGCGGCACAAAAAGTTTGCACTTGACTACTAACCTACAGATTGGCGGTTCGAACACACCCAGCGGTGCTGCAGAAGGGCTGGTGATCTGCTTCCATAAAGATTACGTCGAGGAAAACCCTATGGAGCAGTTCTACTCTGTAACACATGGTGTCGCCACGAGTCAGAACCAACCTGACAACAATGAGGTGGACTTTTCAGTTAATAAGCAAACTGTGTAGGTCAGGAGCCACAGAGGGGCCACCACTTCCGAATTCTGCTCAGCCCCTGACCCCTGGACCCAGACAGGAAGGCATATACTCACCTTCTCGCATTTTTTGATCCAACTCATCCAGTGTTGGTTCAATCAATTCCCAGCCATCTGGGGGAGCTTTCCGACTTCTTTTGACTTTAGGCATATTTATTCACAAAATATTTTGCAAAGACCTAGATTTAGGATAAAAAAAAGAACTGAATTGGTTTATGAACCTCAGATGCCCCACTGTGGCCCTTCTAGTTCTTGGGAGCAAGGCAATGGCTACTGGAAAGCGTCTAGCATGCAGACTGTCTGGGTTCAAATCCTGCCCCTGTTACATCACCATTGTAACCTTAGAAAGCTCCTTAAGATATCTACATCCATCTCCTCATCTGTAATATGAGGACAAGAGCTCTTATAAAAATCACTGTGAAGACTTCATCAGGATCTTACACCAAGTTCTGGTATATAGTGTATACTTAGTAGACGTCTGGAGTCCTGGTGTGGCAGAACTGCTAACCACAAGGTTAGCAGTTCAAACCCACCAGCTGTTCTCCTTGGAAAACCATGTTTTGCTATGAGTCAAGACTGACTCAATGGCACACAACTACAGTAGATGTCTGCTCTTCTCATTAACATCAACTACATGATTGGCCCTGTACTAGAAGACTAAAATAAGACACAGCCTCTATTCCTAAGAAAATGGCATTTCAGCAGGGGACACGGAAGAGGAGGCAATTACAATGAAAGCAGTGTGTCAACTGGTGGTGGTGGGGCTCCTGGTGTGGCGCTGTACGATAAGCACTAGACTGTTAACCCACACGGTCAGCGGTTCAAACCCACCAGATGTTCCTTGGAAACCCTATATAGGATTGCTATGAATCAGAACCAACTCAACAACACTTAACAAGAGGGCTGAGGGAGCTGGGAAGATGAACATTTAAAAGGAAAAAAGACAGTTGTAAAGCAAAGCACCTTAAGATCTGCTTTCCAAGGGTGTAGTGGGCAGACTTCTAGATCATGCACTACAGGCTTGGGTTCTTGTTCAGCACTACCATTTACTTGCTCTGTGACTTTGAGGAGGTTACTTTTCTTCTCTGCTCCTCAGTCCTCATCTAAAAAATGAAGGCACAGAATGAACTAATTGCTGTGGTCCCTTTTAGGCCTAACAAACACTTTATCCAACAAGTCAGTCAGCCCACACCCAAATCAAACCACAAGGCATCTCGTTGGCAAACAGAAGGTAGGCCAACTATAGTCTTTTTTTCCTTTTTATTGTTAATTGAATGGTTTACAGAATAGATCAGTCCCACATTCAACAAATCATACACTTCGTGTCATTACAATGATTGAAATCCTTTCCGTGTACCATCAGTAAATAGTATGTACCTCTATTCACTCTTGCTCTCTTCCCTCCCTCTCCTGCTCTTTCATCTTTCCTCTGCCAACCTCCATCTAGTATATTGCCTTCCCCATCATACAAGTTAGCATGTTCAACTATCATCTTTAAGCAGAACAAATCTCTCCCAAAGTCATCTGAAAAGTGACTGAGCTCAACCTTTTTAGTCTCAGACTCAAAGGAAAGCCCAGAGTTGAGTAGCGGAAAACTGGCAGGTTCAGTTGGTGAAGCTACAGAGGGTGGTCGGGAGGGCAGGCACAGACAGTGACAGGAAAAAGGTCACTTTACGGTTACCCAGGGAAATTCCAGAGTCCTAGCTCAACCTGGGAGTCAGGGGAAGCCTCCGAGACGTGCTTAGATGCACGAGGTAACCTGGTCAAAAAGAACGTGGCGGGCAGCGTAAGAAACATTATATAACCCTTAAGAACACTCGAGAGAGAACAAAGCTGAAGAACGATCAGAAGATAGCACAATAGGGACTCTACGAAAGATTCAAGAAAAAGACTGCGTGGAGAACGACCTTTAACAAGTAGAAATGTAGGCAAAACAAGTCCCTGGCAGAAAAAACGGCGTGAAAAGAACGAGAAAAAACCCTAATCAGCCATCCACTCAAGAAAATAAACAATGGCACCGTCTTCTTCCGGAAGCTCACTTCGGCGTTTAGCTCCAGCGATGCGACTCCGTCCCAGTCCAGTCGCTAGATCGCGCCCAGTGCAAGTGCAGACCTCCAACTTCTGGCCCAAACCGTTAATACCAAGGCAACCAAACAGGTACCTACCTAAAGCTCCGTCTCCCTCAGCCGCCACAGCTCTACTGACGACTTCCGCTTCTCACGTGATCTCTACAGGATAAGGTCCTCGCAGAACCCCGCCCCTTACGAGCGAAGAATGCGTCGATTTAGGTGTCCACAGAATTGCCTGTAGAGAATTCCACAGCTATTACCCTGCGCCCTAACTTTATGTAAAGGTGGCCAGCAAGAACACGTGTTTCTACCTGGCTGCAGCGCGCGGGCAAGCCTGACTGAGTTCAGGCGGCGCGCGGGACAGTCTCCTTTGCTTGGGGCCTCTCTCATGTCCTCAGTCGTCGCGGCGGCGGCGGCGGCAGCAGCGGCGCGCGGCGAGCTCTAGGCCGGGCGGAAAGAGTCGTGCCCGAGGAATTTCCGGTTCCGGTGTCAGTTCGAGGCGCCGCCGCAGCAGCCGCCGCAACCGCGATGCCTAAAGGAGGTGAGGGACGGGCGCGCGTGGCTTGAGGGCCTCGAGGGGCGGCCCTAGCCCCACTCCGAGACCCTCAGTCCGCGGTGGCCTCAGGGAGCGGCGCTGAGGGCGGGTCTCCGCGTCTTCTGAGGGCCGGGAGTGGGCCTCGATGCTTGATTGTCCCGATAGGGAAACTGAGGACTCTAATGGTCTAGAGCCACTCGCTCGGACGTCTGAATGGACCCAGAGGGCCTGGTCTCCCGGGTGTCGGAGGCTGTATTCGGGGGGGTCTGAAGTTTTCTCCACCTTCGAGGTGGCCCGGGGACTGAGTCACCGCGTCCCGCGCCTTGGCTGGGCCCGCCTGCCTCGCGTGTGAAAACATGGGGCCAGGCCACAACCAAACAAGCCTGTAGCGTGATGCTCGTGGGCCGGGCAGACCCCAGGTCGCCAAACTTCTCGGGTTCTCAGGTGCCGCACTGGCCGTAGGATGCGAGGCTTCATGTAGCTATTCGAAGCCTGGACGTGGCTGAGGGCCCGCAAGTGCTCCCTATTGTTCGTCGTAAAGGGTGCGTGGCTGTGCTTCAGTCTGTTTGCTTTCTCTCCCCTGAGAATCTGTCGTCTCCAGTTCGAATCCCAGCGGGGCCACTGTCCCATTTGTGGCCTCGAACCTAGCCTGTTTTCCTCATAGGAAACCATGAGGCAATGAGCGGTTGCTCTTTGGGATCGGGAGACGGGGGTTGGGGGGGGGGTGTCGCTGGCGGGTTAGCCCCTGACGGGGACCAGATGTTGGGTTAGGAGAGGCAGCTCGACTGGAAGACGCCGAGTGCTCACCCAGATGGCTTCCTGAGACTGGGTCTCCAGGGGTGGAGGGTCGCGGGGAGCAGGGGTATTGCCAGGCTGATCGGTGTCATCATCTGTAAAGGCGCCGGAGCCCTGGTTAAGGGTGCAAGTTTGTTGTTATGTGCCGTGGAGTCGGTTCCGGCTCATAGCGACCCTGTACAGGGTTTCTCCCGTGAAACAGCTGGTAGTTTCGAACTGCTGACCTTAATGTTTACAGCCCGATTCGTAACTACTAAGCTACCAGAGGTTCTTAAGCTGCAAGTTGTTGTTGCTATGTTCCGTGGAGTCGGTTCAGACTCATAGCGACCCTGTACAGGGATTCCAAGGCTATAAATCTTGACGGGAGCAGAAAGCCACATCTTTCTCCCGCGGAACATCTGGTAGTTTCGAACTGCCAACCTTGAGGTTAGCAGCCCGATTCATAACCACAACCCTGTAAGTTACTATTACCAAATTTGCCTGATAGATCCATCACAAAATGCCCTGGACCTTTGACGTGGGAAAAGCCTTTTGGTGGTTGGGTCTTGTCAGGTTGATTATCGGTTCACAGAGACCCACCCCACTTTAAAGTACCTGGGCCAACTCGCTGCCTCACGCTAACTGGGCGGAAGGTTTAAGGGCTGGAAGGAGAGCCTCCCACTGGACAGCAAGCAGTGGGGTGCAGAGAGAGACAGAGCCTGTGGGGACCCGTTTTGAGGTGTTACTGTTGCCTGGACTGTTAGAGGTTGTTGGTGCTTCCACAGGGGGACTTTCTAGAATGTAACCAGACGCCCCTGGGAGGCCAGGTAATCATTAAACGGGTGGGGTGGCTGCAGCAGCCCAATTACAGGCTCAGCAGCTGCTGTCTAGGAAATCGGGGGAGGCTGGAGTCTCTGCTGTCCCTGGAGGTGGTATCTGCTTGGGCTGAGTACAGACTTTTTACTCCAGGAGAGGAACTCACTGGAAATCAGGTATGCCTCAGTTTCCAGAAGAGCTCCTGTGGTGGGGAATGAGGCCACAGCTCCCCCAGCATCCTCTGGGTCCAGCGTAGAACGTACCTCCCTCCTTGAAGATTGGTGGAGGGCTATAGCAGAGAACAGTCTTAAGATTGTTATTCACACAGTTAACGTTCAGACTGTGGGTTTTAGCTGACTGGGTGACTCCATGCACAGCAGACCACAGTGCTTCCTAGGCCTGTGCCAATTCTGGGATGGGTTGTGGATCAGACATTGGCCAAGTGCCAGGACTTTCTAGTCTGTCTTAGTCTGAAAGCTCCACTGAAAACCTGTTCAGCATCATACTATCATCGATGGGTGTGGTGGCTGCATATAAGGTTCATTGTCCAGGATTTCAGCCTACCTCAGATTTCAATTTTAACTTGGCTGTTTTTTTCCAAGCATAAGAAAATGTTCGCTTGGAGGTTTTTCCCTTCTACCATATGTGTTGTAAGATGAACATAAAGTGTCTTACCTTCCTTCACAACTCCAGCACATTGGTTACATGGTCAGTGTTTTTCACCACCAAATAACGTATTAGATGAAAACTAATCATAGCAAGTGCTTTCATGGTGCTTACCCAGTGCCAGACACTATAGTATTAACGAATCTCTTGTTGTAACAGCCCTGCCCTGTGAGGGAGGGACCCAGATGGGGAAACTGAGAGCCTGAAAAGTTAAAATATCTCTCTGAGATTACAAAGCTAGTGAATGGCAGAGCTGAGATTTGAATGCATGGTTCAGACTCCAAAATCCTTGCTCATACCCCTCTGCTTTGATCTTAAGCCTCTTGGTCTATGAAACCACAGAACCAGCAGTTACTGTGCTTTACGGTTTATAATAGAATATGCAAGTAAAAAGCACTGGAGGGTGTAAATGGTACCTGGTCTTGTGATTGCCTCCCAGCCCCCTGTGGAGATTTAGCTGGGTGCTATGGCTGTACCACTCCCCCGTACTTTTACCCTGGGGCCTTATTTGTGGGGACTTGCATCCTTACCCACACACATGAGGGAGGTGAAGATGTCGGTTGATACATGGTGAGGGGCAGATGAAGAGAGCAGCCCCACAGTACTTTGCCCTCTGGGGGCCAGGTCATCACAGGGAGCTGACTCCCCCACCTCCTAAAACACTGATCCTCTTGCAGGGAGAAAGGGCGGCCACAAAGGCCGTGCAAGGCAGTACACAAGTCCCGAGGAGATTGATGCCCAGCTCCAGGCTGAGAAGCAGAAGGCCACGGTGAGTACATGTCTGTCTGGGCACCCAGTGGTCGGGGGTGGCCCTACCTCCGGTTTCCAGAAAGGCCAGGGCAGCAGGCAGCAGAACAGCCAGGTTCAGGTTGTGCGCTATCCTCTGATTGAGTTGATTACCAAGAACTTGGTTCACTTGGCAGAAAACCTTAGCAGGTCAGTTCTGGTCCTGTGATCTGGTTGGGAACTCAGAGAAAAGAGCACAGTCCCTGCCTCCTGGGGTCTCCGTCTCCCCCAGCCACTCGAGCTTCAGGCACCAGGAATGTCTGCTCCAGCCATGCAGAGCTGCCTGTCTGCCCACACCCCCAACAGGCTGAGAGCAGTTTATTCCTGAGTATCTGATAAGGAGTTCTGGTAGCATAGTGGTTTTGAGTCGGGCTGCAAACCGCAAGGTTAACAGTTTGAAACTACCAGCTGCTCTGTAGGAGGAAGATGAGGCTTTCTAGCTCTTGTAAAGATTTAAAGCCTCAGAAACCCTGTTCTGGATCGCTATGGGTCGACAGCACTTAGCAGTAACATCTGGTAGCATAGTGGCTATGAATCAGACTGTGAACCGCCTGCACCGTCTGCAGTTTGAAACTACCAGCAGGAGAAAGATGAGGCTTTCTGCTCCCGTAAAGATTTACAGCCTCGGAAACCCTGTACAGGGTCGCTATGAGTCGAACCGACTCCTGGGTACTTAACAACAACATCTCCTGCTGGAGGGCTCAACTCTTGCTCTGTGGATTGGTAAACCCAGCTCTGTAAACAAGTGCCTGAGGCACACTATTTCACCAGTAACTTTTCTGCCCCAGAGCCTCACCTGACTGTAAGGGGCTCAGCTTTTTTCCTCTTTGGGTTGTCTCCTGCCAGTCTCCTGGTTCTGCTAGCATTGTTCTCTGCTAGTGCTTCTTGCCGTCTGTCTCCTGGGTCTAGGAACTTCCCAGCACAGCGACCCCAGCACCAAAGGACACAAGCTCTGCTCCCATCGATTCTTGCTTGTGGCCAGGTCCCCTCTGTCTGCCTCTGGGATGGCTCGTTTTTTAGCTTAGCAAGATGGCAAGACTGACCAAGCCCTTCATTATGTTGGGGTCTGTGTGCTTATATATGGCTGTCATGCACCTTATTTGCATTATTAACAAGCTGTCCAATTCCCTTCATGGACCACAAGGCCTTCATTTGCATATCCCCACCCAAGACAGTAGAGTCTTGGTGTGGTGACTAGATCTATTTGAATCATGAGGTCAGTGGTTCAGCAACCCTATACAGGGTTGCTATGAATCGGAACTGACTCATTACCACTCAATAACAATAGCAACCCAAGACTATGATGAAAGTGCTCTGTCACCACGTGATGTTCCCATTAGTGTTGGTGTTCATGGCCCATACCACCCATCCATACCTGGATAAGGGCACAAGAGGGACCCCCATCTGGCTGGGTCTTTGGGAGGGCCTTGCCGGCAAGCGCTGAGACAACAGTAACAGGAAGGAGGGACAGGTGATTAGAGGCAACAAAGATCAGGGAAGGATGTAAGGTTTTTGAAAGAGACTGTCTGTTGTGTCACTGGCCATGCAAGTGCAAAGGAGGAGAGGGCTTGCCCAGGAGAGTTGGACGATTTTCTGCCTGCACACAAAGTTTGGGAGTGGGCAGGGGCAGGGGGAGAGCTGAGCAGCACTGTGAGTTCCCACGTGTTTGCTCGGCTGAGCCTGCTTTCCTGGGGAGGACTTTGTCACCCAGGCTGCACAGGGCCCATTCCTGGCTACGTGAGGGTCTTGTTGGACTGGAAGCAAGTGGATCGGCCTTCTCTGGCCCATATCCACCCCATCTCGCCCTCCCCGGGACAGGTCACAGAGCAGGACCTTTGTCAGATGTGCTTGCAGCCTTCCAGAGACTCAGTTTTTCCAGGTCCACAGTTAAGGGTGGTAGTGGGGGGGTTCAGTCTTGGGAGTTTGTTTCACATGTCTGATTCTGCCAGTTGTCCATTTTTGAAACAGGAAGAAGAGGAACAAGAAGAGGGTGGAGATGGGGCTTCTGGTGACCCCAAGAAGGAGAAGAAATCTCTAGACTCCGATGAGAGTGAGGATGATGATGATGACTATCAGGTAATGAGTCCAATGGGAATGAGGATGGGACATCTTTTGAATACTTGGTTGAGACAATGTCTTTGGTCTTAAGGGTTTATACACCAATGAGGGCATAGACAATAAGTCAGCAAGCAGTAAATTTCACATAGTGGTAAATATTACAAGTAAAATGGATATATAGAGAGGGTACTTGGAGAAGTGTCAAGAGGAGGTGACATATAAGCTGAGATCTTAAAAGGAAGGCGCCAACCCCATGAAAGGAGGCTTGTAGAGCAGTTGAACTACAAGGTGCAAAGGCCCTGGGGTGAGGACAAGCTCAGCCTGCTGAAGGAACAGTGGGTAAGTGTGATACAGATGAAGTGGTTGGCAGGGGCAGCTCCTGTAGGGTCATGGAAGGGGTTTGGGTTTTAGTGTAGTGGGCAGCTGGTGATTTTAAGTGTTTGTTTATTTAATAAAACTGTATTGTTTGTTGTTTGTTTACTTAATAGAACTGTGTTGTTAGTTTCTGGCAAAGGTTTACACAGCCTGTTAGATTCCTATTCAACAATATCCATCCTCATTGTTCAGTGACTTGTGGGTTACCTTATTTTTCTGCAAATAATGCACACATGTATATAATGTGCACAACATGCATGGGAGGTGAATGTACCTGGGGGTTGCTTCATTTGGGGATGCCTTTGTATTTGTGTCAGAATTCTCAGGGTTTCTGTTTTGTTGGTTCTATTTCCATTAGTTTCGTTTCCCTGCTTCTCCCTTGTATTCTCAGATTTGTTTTAAAGTCACTGCTGATTGGTGATCTGTTTTTAAAGATTCTTTTGGGTTCCTTGTGGGACTAGTGGTAGTGTGTTGAGGGCAGGAGCAGGGAGATGGCAGCAGCCATCCAGACCAGGACCTGATGGCTCCTTCTGGGGTAATGGCAGTAGAGATGAGTGGACAGGGTCAAGCCATATTTTATAGGTAGACTGGGGCTGCTGGGAATAGAGGAATTGGATGGGGAAAGCAGGCACGGTATTCCATGGAAAATACTCTTGGAAGCCAGGTGGGAAGTAGGGAACTGCTCTCTGGGCTGAGAGCCTATGAGCCTTTGTCTCTGAAGCTGGGGTCCTAACCCCTACTGCTGGGCTGGGCACAGACTGGCTGAGTGCATGCATGCACGCATGCACACACACTACCAACCCCAATCATGGTCCTTGGAGCTCCTGAGCGCTGTTTCCTCTGTGAGACCCTGGCCCAGCATCCTGTTGGGTAGGGCGGGAGCCAAAGTGTTTCCATCTAGGTGGGATGGTGGGGGGTTTGGGAAATGCCCCGGGGCTGTGCAAGACCTAAGCTTCTCTAATGGCCAGCCTCTTGCCTAATCCTAGCAAAAGCGCAAAGGTGTGGAAGGGCTCATCGATATCGAGAACCCCAACCGGGTGGCACAGACAACCAAAAAGGTCACACAACTGGATCTGGACGGGCCAAAGGAGCTTTCCAGGAGAGAACGGTAACGTCTGCTGCAGGACCTTGTGGCCAGAGGCAGGTTGGGGAGGGCTTGCTTCATCTCATTCCCCAAAGGTAGTGTCCTTCCCTTCTTCCCACTGAAAAAATCACCAACATAAATGTGACATTAGGCACACTAGAAGATGGAGACCTGAGCATTGCACTTTGAGTAGCTGATCCAGGGACATGGCAGGTTAGTCTTAGGTCCCTTCCCTGAGAGCGGGCTTCTCCAGCCTGGGCTGATCTGCATCCAGAAGGCAGACTTGGTGCTCTGTCCCACAGGTAGTGTGAGGATGAGGCTGCTAACTGAAGGGCCTGAAGGCGCTTCTGAGCGGACTCTAGGATTTAAATGCATATCTCCTAGCTGCTGCCCAGTGGCAGGGACAGACAGACTGCTGAGACTCCCTCTACCCCTTTGGTAGTTTCATTCTTGGGGTTGAAACCCAAGGAACCCTGCACTGGTGCTGGCCTTCCCCAAGCAGCCACTGCCATGGGCAAGTCAACTGCCTCTGCTGCCTCCGTGTGTCTCCACCGGTAGCAAGGACTGCTATTTGATGCCCCTAGAAGTTGCCAAGACATTGACTGTCATGCCTAGCGCTGTGCCTGGCACTCACTTGGGGGTAAGGGCTGCAGAGCCTTTGGGTGTCGCCCATTGTTGCTACAGCCTTGGTCATGGTTCCAGACGCTTCCAGGATCTCCCGGATTGGGTCTGGAGCTCTGAGGGTCCATCTCCTTTGGGCCTCCCTGTGCGGAGGATCCACTGGGCCAAGGGGACTTATCGCCACTTCTCATCTCGAGTCTCCTAGGCCAAATATGCTCTTCCCATGCCCTGTGGCTGTGGTCTCTCCTTTGCCAGGCTCATGCACCTTGTTTCTTGTTCCACCCCTGCCCTGAGTCTTGTGGAGGCCTCTGGGTAGCCTGGTTTTCCCTAGAACTCCTCTCCAGTACTTGGCCTGCCCACCTCAAACCCTACAGGGTTTACATAGGAACCCCCTCGTTCCTTTGTGCTTAGATCACTTCTGGCTGAGCAGGCTTTTGTTCCCACCACCCCACTGATCCTGTTGGGCCTCAGCACATCTGCACTGCTCTGGTGGAGAATAGGCACATGGGTCAATACGAGCTTTGAACCCATTGCCATCCAGTTGATTCTGACTCACAGACCCCAGAAGACAGTAAGATGGCTCCTAGGGTTTCCCAGACTGTCAGTCTTTACTTATGGGTTCAAACTGCAACCCTTTCAGTTAGCCTCCCAACTGAATCCACTCCTGTGCCACCAGGGCCGTTGGATCTGTGATGGGGTGTTTCTGTTTTCCCTGTGTGGTCCTTATCCCTGGCCTGGGGCCGTCTCTGATCTCTTTCTGTGATGTGTGGTTTCCAGGGCCTTTGTTCTCCTGGCTGTTTCGCCAGATACACAGCTCACATGTCTCAGTCCCCTTTCTTGTGGATCCCTGACCCTAGTCAGGAAGCCCCTGTATGGTGTCGCCCCAGGCTGACCTGGTCCTGTCCCAGGTTGAGGTTCTGAAGGCTACTGATGTCACAATGCCAAGCTCCCCTTCTGCCTGGGGACACCACTGGCAGTCCTGAGCCCTTCCCCTCAGGCAGGTCTGTGCCCAGGCGGAGTTCTTTACTGCTTGTGGGGTGGCCATGGAGCGGTGGACCCTTCCTCCTCTCCTCTCTGCCTTGGCCTCAGCCTATATCCTGGCTGTCATGTCCAGCTCCACGACATAGCTAGGAGCAGTTCCCTTCACATCCTTTTTTCTACAGGGAAGAAATTGAGAAACAGAAAGCGAAAGAGCGGTATATGAAAATGCATTTAGCTGGGAAGACAGAGCAGGCCAAGGCTGACCTGGCCCGGCTAGCAATCATCCGGAAGCAGCGGGAGGAGGCCGCCAGGAAGAAGGAAGAGGAGAGGAAAGGTAGGTCTGGGCTCAGGTGGCGTTCGCTGAAAGCTGAATGCGGTTCCCAACAAGCCCCGAAACCCAGCATCAAAGTGTTGATTTTATTTAGACAGCAGAGCTCAGTGGGATTCTGTCTGGGAAGTGGATCCCAAAGGTGGAGTGTGGGCAGGTCTCACACAGACACATTAGGGGAGGTCAAGACACCTGTGTCTGGTGGGAGCCTTGTCCTCATCTGCCTGCTGATCCACCACATGGGCTGTTTCCAGAGGCCTTGCAGACTAAAGGAGTCTGGGCCACAGTGGTCAGAGCACTCAGCTGCAAACCAGCTAATCCCTTGGGAGAAAGATGAGGCAGACTTTCTCGGAAAGCTGTTCTAGTCTGTTCTGTTGAGGTACCTGAGCTGGTCTGGAGCATGTGGTGGATAGGGGTTTGCATACTCAGGCACGTGTATGGGGTAGTTTTAATTCCTTCCCTTTCCCCTCCCACAGCAAAAGATGATGCGACTTTGTCAGGAAAACGAATGCAGTCGCTGTCCCTGAACAAGTAAAGATGGCTGCAAGGAGAGGAGATCCCGGGGACTGAGCCCGCTACCAGGACCTCCATGTGCGGCCCGCTCTGTACCCTGGCGCCGCTGTAGCAGCCCCTCATGGCTAGGAGCCTTCCCATCCCCCGTGGCTGGGGGCTTCCTCTTCATCTTGGCACAGAAATGGTTTGGGGGGATGGTTGGGGGGAGGCTGGGGGGAGGGAGCAGCCGCTGTCTTTGAGACAGAAAGATTCGGGCAAAACGTTTCTCGTGTAGCCATTTGAATGTTTTTCTGTTTGTGGAGTTGGGAACCCTTTGGGGGGTACTGGGAGGTGGGGTAAGAAGAGCTTTTCTTCTTCTGGTAGTAGTTAGGATTGTGCCCGGGGCAGCTGCTAACAGCTAGTGATACCCAGCCCCGGTGTGCGTTGCCTGGGTAAAGGCTCACGAGAGGGGCTGTCCTCTGGGAGCCGGTGCTCTGGGTCCCTGGCCAGTCCCTTGACTGAGGCCTCCCTTCCCTCCTGCCTTGCCCCCTTCCCACTCACCTGGCCAGGGCCCATCTAAACCGAACCCTCAATCATTTCAAGAAACCTGTTTACGGCACCCAGGCTAAACATGCTCCACAACTTCAACTTGTAGATCTGGCAGATTAAACTTGACATTATCATAACCCAGCCTCATGCTCATGTCTGTGTCCTCTGTGCTGGGGCAGCTGGCACCCAGTGGGGAGGGCATGGCGTCACTCAGGCAGGCCCACCTGGACAGGGTCCTGGGTGCATCCCTGATTCAGGGGTCCAGGAATGCTGGGAGAGACCTCAGGGTACCAGAGCCAACCCTTCCAGGCTTTTACCAGAAACCTGGGGCCAGAAGGGCCAAGGATCTGTGTACCTCCAAAGCAGGCCTCCCTCGGGTGCTGTCTTCCCACCCCACTATGGTCACCAGGGAAGGTAAACGTCAGCCTTGCAGCCAAAGCAAACTAAGGCACTGGTGTCCATGGAAATGGCAGGTCTGCAAACACCTTTTTATTATTCCTGTTCTAAAGCCATTCATGACCAGCATAGGGCTCGGGGATTTTTTTTTTTTTACAAATGAAAGCATTTAAGAAAAACGCATGTTTGTTTCTTCAATAGGTAAAAGAAGATGTTCTCTCTCTCTCCCCCCCTCCCCCCCCACAGCGCAGGCAGGGGACTGGCATCCTAGGAACATTTAGCAAAGTGACCCTTAGCCTCAGGGCCAATCCCCCAGCAAGTAATCCTCACAGGTCATTTGATCTTGAGGTCCTTCAAGGCTGACTCCAGGCTCTGGAAGGAAACAGGCAGCACACACCGGCTTTCAGCACATTTCCCAACCCTAGGAACCAGGCCCATACCCAGCCAAGACCAGCCCCCAAGGAATCAAGGATTTGAACCACGTTCCCTATGGGGCCTCACCTTCACATCCCAGATGCCCATGCCACCATCCAGACCCGTGGTACAGAACTGTGTGCATTTGGCCTTCCCACCGTTGAGCACCGAGATCTGGCTGCAAAGAGGACGGAGGCCAAGACCTCAGGACAGTTAGGGGGTGATGAGGGATGTGCAAAGCACTCTGGGAAATCCCAGGCCCACAGGAGTGACAAGGACTACAGTGACCTCACAGCAGCAGTGGGGGTGGGGCCTTAACTCCAGCCTGGTCTGAAGGCAGCACTGGGCCCCACTACAACTCAGGTCCTGCCCTAGTTGCTACAGCCCCCCAGGGCAGTCTCTAACTTCACCCCCTACTATCTCTGTGCAGCCTGGTGGCCGGTCTGTCCTGTGCTCACCTGACGCTGTTCTTGTGCAGGGAGTCGACCCCTGCACCCGAGGCTGTGTCACCCTCAGAACTGGCCTTCTTGTCCAGGTTCTGGAAGCGCTCGCGGGCTGTCAGACCACGCTGCGAGCTCTGCTTGGGCACATCCAGCCGTCCACCGAAGCTCAGTGTCCCCGCGGTGCCATCGTAGGTGAACAGCACTGGGAAGCAGTCGTGGCCCTGTGGTGGAGGGTTGTGCCATTGGAATGCAGGCACAGCTCCCTGACTTGATGCAAGTGGGGGGTGAGCCCAGGAGAAAGATGTGGGACTGTGGTAGGGATTGCAGAGGGCTGCCCCAGGTGTATGTGGCACCAGGTCTTGGGGGTAGATAACCAAGGGTTGCCCCCTACCTCAACAGGGCCAGCATGTGGTTGAGGAAGGGGGAATGTTTGTCTGGTATTCCCCTGGGGCCCAGGTGCCCACCAAGCTTCCCATTTTAGGTAGGCAAAAAGTGACACCCCCATTGTGTTTACTGACAGGTGAAAACACACCTAGTCCACTGTATAGGCAGGAGGGAGGGAGAGCAGTCCTTGATACGGCTCACCCAGAATTTTTAGATCTACTTTCTGGTCACAGAGAACTGCACCTTTCCCCAAACCCCCAGTTCAGCCTGGCCACACTGTCTGCATTGGCCAATGGAGTGTAAGGCCTATCAGGGCAGCTGGGAAGCATGTTGGAGACAAAGCTGTCAGATGTGCTCCCAATATCCCCACTGGACATTAGGGATGGGGGGTGTTTATTATTATAGGAAACCTGACTAGATTCATACAGATAGAGACTGGAGAAGGGTGGTGGATGAGAGAGTAGATGGGTGGGTGTGGGGATGGATGAATGAGTGGATGGATTGATGGACAGGTAGATAGATGTGAGTGGGCCGACGGATGCATAGTAGACAGGTAGGTGTGGGTGGATGGATGGGTGTGTGAATGAGTAGATGAATGGATAGATGGATGTGTGGGTGAGTAGATGGCTATGTGTAGGTGATTGGGTGGATGGATGACTGGGAGGAATGGAAAAAGAGAGGTGCAGGTGGAGAACTGCATGAGTATCTGCTCTCTTGGCCCCTGCTTGTTCCCTCCCCTGTATCCTTACCGCAGCCACCAGACTGTTTTCTGTGATGAAGGTGACAGCCAGCAGGGGCAGCGTTTCAGAGGCCAGAGTTGCGACTCTGATTGGGAAAGAGATGTCAGCCACAGCCTTCCACTCTGCCTTAGTACCTGACCCCATGCCCCTGCCAACCTGGATGGCCTCTACTCACGCCATCTTCTTGTCAGCGTTGGCCAGGCACACAGTGCTGTCATGGCTGACCCAGGCCACACGGCTTCCGCTGGCTGAGAAGCACACACCATGTACCCAGCCACAGCTACTGCTAGACTCAAACATCAGTTCCCCAAAGGGCATCTTGGAGCCCCATGGTGTGGGTGCTGGCCGCTCCTCCACCTCCTTGATGTAGGCAGAGAAGATTCTGAGGCAGAAGAGGGGTGACTGAGTCTCAGTGGGGACCCTGAGGAGGCAGCTCAGAGTCCTGAGGGCTAACCACTGACAACTGGCATGAGCCCCGGAGGTGCCAGGTCCTCATGCTGGCCACTGCCCTCCATGGGGGTGCCTCTTGTATGCCCCTTCTGCATCATAAACAACTCGCTCTGGCATACACTCTCCTCCACACCCCCAGCCAGCTCAGCGTTAGGCTCCAGCAGACCAGCACATTATCTGTGTGCCCAGGGCTTCTGAGGGCTACAGCCCCATTTCCTAGGTGATCCAACACCGTGGGTGCCCAGGTGAGTAACACTTAAATTGAAGCTGGAGACTATGGTCCAGTGAGTTGTCATTTGCACTTTAGTATAAAACAGCAAACCCATGCCTTTCCCTTCAGACAGGAAGGTGAAGGGATGAGGATTCTAACAAGGCAGGAGAGGAGGGCTGGGGAAGGAAAGTGACATTAAGATGTGACAGAAGCACAACAGGAGGATAGCCCCTCCCCCAGAAGATGCTCACCAGATGTAGGGCTGAGACCAACCTGTCTGGAAGGCAGGACTTGGGGCTCCAGGACAAGGCTCTCCCCCCACCACCCTCCAATCCCCACCCTACCCTGCCTGGTGGCTGCCCAATCTCACCGGCACTTAAAGTCACAGGAGCCAGCAGCCAGGAGCACATTGTTGGGGTGCCAGTCCAGGCTGAGGATGGTGGAGCGGATAGGCTTCTTGATGTGCTTGCACACCCACCTGGACAGGGCAGAAGGGGAGACACAGGTGGGATTCAGCACCCCAGGGACCTATAGACTACCCATACTCCTTGTGGGAGGGGGCCTGGCACTCTTAGCCCTGGTCCCAGGCAGGGTGCAAATGCTTACACTTGGCTGCTAACTGAAAGGTTATAAGTGCCTTAGAAGAAAGGCCTGGCAATCTACTTCTGACAGATCAGCCACTGAGAACTCAAGGGGAGCAGTTCTCTTGACACACGTCAGCCCCACGGTAACTAAAGTTCACGGCGACTATTGACTAGGCCACACTGGCCATGATGGATTTGAATGCAGGTCTCTCAGACTGAAGGTGGTGACCTCTGCCCTCAGGGACATAGGGGAGAAAACTTTGAGCAGTGGGACTCTTATGAGTGGGACTGGGACTCAAGTCAGGCTGGCACCATGGACAGTGATTGCCTCAGCCTTAGTTTACTCATCTAGAAAGTGGGCGCAAAGATGCTCTGGTCCACAGGGTAGTAGGGTCCGTGTATTCAGGGCTTGGCAGATAGATGCCCTGCTGTGGGGCCCCCCAGGGACTGTAGAGCCCCTCAGCTCACCTACACAGCCCAGAGAAGACGAATCTCCCCAGGGGCATATGAGCTTCCAGAGGCTGCTGTAGCACCACCTCTCTTCGTCTGCAGCCAGGGTCTTTCCTGGTCCAGACTGACCCTGCCCGGCCACTCACCAGTCATTCTCCTGCTCGAAGTAACAGATGGAGATGACTCGGGAGCCACTGCCCACAGCAAACTTATTCTCTTGGGGTGCCCAGCGCACACAGCGGGCAGCCCGATTGATCCTCAGGATGACAAGCGTGGGCTTCCACACGTGGCCCTTCAACGTCCACACGTAGGCGTTGCGGTCTGTGCCACAGGTCACGATACGGTTACTCTCAGGGGCCCAGTCGATGCCTGCAGCAGGAAGGAGGGGGACACCAGCCTGAAGCCACCCAGGTAGTAGGCACCAGAGAGGCCCCGATCTGCACAACAAGCATTTAAAACTTTGAGCCAGTGTTTACTGGGGTGACTTAACAGATGCTAAAATCAAAACGATTCTGACTCAGGGATCCCATCAGACACAGGAAAACTGCCCCAGAGTTTCTGAGGCTGTCGGTACTGGATCAGACAGGATCATCTTTCTCCATGGAGTAGCTGATGGACTCAAACAGTCCACCTTTCAGTTAGTAGCCTGATGCTTAACCTAAGCCCTCCCAAGCCATCGCCATACACGATGGAGGGCAAAGCCAAGAGGCAGAAAAGAATGGGTCCTCAGTAATGCTGAGCTGCTGGATCAAGCCCCCCATGAAGTCCATACATCTCTGAGATTTTCAGTCACCTCAACCAACAAATTCCCTCTGAAGTCAGTTTGAATTCGGGGTGTCCTACTCAAAACCTGAAACATTATATCTACTACAGTGAGTGGGGAGATGGCCAGGCTGGCCCTGCCCTCGTCCCTGTCCCTTTCTGGGAGGGTAATGCCAGTCTTCCAGACCCACCTGTCACCTGTCCATTGTGTTCTTTGAGCTCATGCACCTTGACCCATTTGGCCCCACTCTTCTCGTAGATGTGCACCTCATGGTTGTTGGGGCAGATGGCGATCTCTGCAGGGGAAAGGGGCTCAGGATGTAGGCCCAGGACCCTCCAACACCAACCACCAGGAATGCATGCCTCCCCCTCCAACCAGGGCTGACCAGAGCATCTTCTCTTCCGTCACCACCTCTGCCTCGTAAGCCTCCTCTTAGGCCTTGTTGGTCCTGACCTCTGGGACCACTCCTTGTCCCTGAATCAAGCCGGAAGGGGGGCATCCCCTGGATATCTCTCCCTGACACCCTCTCCGTATTCCATTCCCATCTACTCTTCTGGACCCCCAATTCTAGTCACTCTCCTGCTGCTGCCACTGCCCCTGCTTGGCTCCCTCCCCACCTCCTGTCTTTGCAAATGTCACTTCCTCCAAAAGACTGCCTGGGTATCTCCTATGACTGCCTGGATCCCCATTGTCCCCCACCCCGTGCAGGTGTGGCGTGAACTCACATTGCAGTGCTCACAGCCTCACACTATACGTCACCTCTGTGTTTAGGCCTACACACACACACTACACACGGCTACCTGCAGTGCCTGCTCACACCTCTGCTACACACCTGCACCCGCTGCTCCTTCCACTGGCCACGCCCCCCGATGGCCCTGCTTGGCCCTAGAGTGTCCATTCACGCCCTCGGTAAATGCTCAGGGCACATACTCCTAGGTTGGATCAGAGTGTGGGACAAGGATAGCGGGTCCTCAGAGTCCGATGGCCAGGATGCCCTACTGACCCCACACATCCAGAGGCTGTTCCCCACATGCAGTGTCCCCAGGGGTTGTCGGCATGTTCCAGGGATCCAAGTGCCCCCTCCCTGGCCTGTGGCCCTACAGACACTCACGGGAGCGATCCTTGTTCCAGGCGTGGCAGCTGATGGGCTCCACTAGGAAGCTGTGGTAAGCCATGGCGCTCCTCCTGTGCCAGAGAGAGGGGGAGTCAGTGGGCCTCAGCTCTGACCCAAGGCGCCTGGACTCTGGCCACGCATATTGCTAGGCTCCTGAGGCCTTGGTTTCCCTACCGAGAGACCACGAACAATGGAATGGGCTTTGGGGGGCGGGTGCTGCGGGTGAACACACCACCTAGAGTGAGCTGTAGCTGGGACCCTGCAACAGACATTCACATCACTCATCATCTGTGCCTCAGTTTCCTCAGAAAAAATTCTCTTCATAGGATGAGGTGAACCAATCTCCAAAATCTCCCTAGAGGGCTATCCAGCACACAGTGTCCCTTCAGGCCCAGAGCCCTGGTCTCCCCACCTGCTGAGATGGGGTGAAGTTGGTGGTTTGCATGAGGGAGGAGCCCTGGTGGGTACAGTTAAGCATTGGACTGTTAACCAAAAGGTCAGAGGTTCGAACCCACCAGTTGCTTCCTGGGAGAGCGATGAGGCAGTCTGCTTCCGTGAAGACTGACAGCAATGTAGTTCTACTGGGTTCTGTCAGGTCACTAGGAGTCCAAATTGACTGGCTGGATGTCAGTTTGTGGTTTTGTGTGTGGCAGACAAGTGGACATACATACTCACCTGATTCTCAGTCCTGGAAACCCACTTGCTACCCTTGGGGCCAAGATGCCAGGACTGCCTCCTGCCTAAGGATGGGGGGCTTCACAATGCCCCTAGGGTGGCTGAGTGGAGGTGTTCATGAAAGCACCACTCTTATTCCAGGCCACGATTAATGGTGAGAGGTCATTTCCCAGCCAGACACACACGTTCCTGCCTCAGGCCTTCGCAAAGGCTGTTCCTTCAGTGGCAATGCCCTTCCCATCGCTGCCATTATTATAATACCACCGTCTCACGGACGTCTTCCCTGATGGCCTGATTTGAAACTGCAGCTGCCGCTTACCCTGGGTCCCCCACAGATAATTATCAACTGGCATGTACAGTGAATCTGTGAGAGCTGGAAAGAGACAGGACTAACTTATTCTCTGGGTCTTGCTACTTTTCCACGTCTGACAAGGTGCAATCTTATCACTTTCCTATCATTTGTTTTCGTGGAAAAGTTTTATTTTCCTTTTCTGGCAAGTTTCTACCTTCAGCAGTTTCCAGTTTTTGCTGAGACCACAGGTTTGGCTCTAGACCACCACAATAAAGCGACTATCGTAATAAAGCGAGTCACATGAACGTTTTGGTGTTCTGGTGCATATAAAACTGAGATGGACATTAGCCTATAGTCTATGAAGTATTCAACAGCATGATGAAGACATCAGAAATACAACAAGAATGACCAAAATAATGACACAGAGTGAGCACACGCTGTTGGAACAATGGTGCCCACAGACTTGCTCGATGCTGGGCTGCCACAAACCTTCAACTGGTTAAAAACAAATAAAAAACGGAGCAAAGCAAAGCGCAACCAAATGAGATACAGCTATATTGCTATAGTGTCTTCTTTCACCTGCCCCTTCTTGCCCCCTGCTGGAGAAAGCTGGCATTTCCCATCTAACTCATTCATGTCCCTATCCCAGTGCCTCTTTGTGCAACACACAGTAGGTGCTCACTAAACAGCTGACAAGCAAATGTCTTTTCTTTTTTAAGGTCTTTATTGTGAATTAAGTGAAGGTTTACAGAGCAAGTCATCAACTTCATATTCAGCAAATCATATGGTCTGAATAAGATTTCTTTATTGCCATTGGCACTCCCCAGAGTAAATTGTGTTGTGGAAACATTTTAAAAAACACTAACTACCCAACATTTCTCTAACGTTCCTCACTGGCCAGACCCTGTCCTCAGCACCTTATGGGCTGAATTGTGCCCTGTGAAAAGGTATGCTGAAGTTTGGACCGCTGGTATCCGAAAACATGACCTTTTTGAAACTGGGTCTTAGAGGGAAGATGGCCAGGTGATGAGGAGGTACGGGGCCCCCTGAAGCTGGGAGAGATGAGGAAGGTGTTCCCATGGGGTTTGATCCTCCTGGCTCCTGGTGTCAGTCTCTCGTCTCTGGAACAGTTAGAGAATACCCTTCTGTTCTTAGAAGACCCTGCTTGGTAGCCCCCAAGGCCACTAGGTCGATACTCCCAGAGGACCTGCGTAGGGAGGCCACCTGCTCACACACACAGCCATCAGCTACAGGCTAACCAGGACCCAGAGTCCTGCACCCAAGAGGCTGATGGCTGCACTGTTATTGTCTAGCTTTGGCACACCATCGTCCCCTTGGCAGAGGTGCCTGTTCAGATTGATCTCACCCACAAGGCTAGCCTGGAGGTCCAGTGACCGCTGGGCAGATGTCACAACACAAACCCCATGCTCAGGAGCTGCTGCTCACCCCAGATTTAAATCATTTCCTGCAGGAAGTCCTGAAAGGGCCACCCACCCCAGCCCTGGCACGTGTATAAAGGGACGGGGCCACACCTGCTCCCCCAGTGCCTAGAACTGGGCGCCCAGTCTACTACATTTGCAGAAAAAGAAAAAGAGAAATTGTACATATCCCCACACGGCCCACACCCAGGCCACGGGCAGCTTTGCATACACACAAACGCACTGCTCACACACACGTGGACTCACCTTGCATACACACACAAGCACACATACATGATACTTGGCCCTGTATGTATGTATGTGTACACACACACACACACACACACACACCCCTCCCACTTCCGCTTCCTCCCTGAACCTCTTACTCCTTAAAAGGCCTTTCTGTATAAGACAAAGGCCCCAGAAGTGCTGCCTCGCCTGGAACCCAATCAGGGGCTTGCTGGGGGTTTTCCTGAGCACTTCCGGTTCACCCAGGCTGTACCAGGGATGACCCCACTTAACCTGGTCAGGGGTCATCACTATAGGAGTGGGGCAACTTCACTGCGTATGTTCATCTGTCCTGCCTCAATCTCCCAAGGTCACCAGCGGGGCCCTGGAGGGGCTGAGACAGAAGACCATTTCTAAGTCTCAGCCCGAGTACTGGTTGGCATGGCCCAGAGGGAAGAAACTCTGTGATGAAGTCAGTGGTTCCCCAGAGCCAGAACTCTAGGTCTTGGACTGGCAGGCAGAACCTGACTCCCCAGCACCCACTGTCAGACATGCTGTGTGTCCCTGGGCATGCCTCGGTTCCTTGTAGGGTCTTGGTAAGAGTAGTCAACCATGGAGGACATACAAGCTTATCTTAAGATGCTCTGAATTTCTGGAGTATTTACACAGAGAGGCTGGGTCCCTATGTGAGCCACTAGGTATTGGCAGCTCAGGAACTTGGGGAGCTCTGGCTAACAGCTCCCCAGACCAAAGGAGCTCTAGTAGTCTAGTGGTTACGAGTTGGGCTCAAGATCAACAGTTTTGAAACTACCAGCTTTTCCACAGGAGAAAGGCTTTCTGCTCCTGTAAAGATTTACAGCCTTGGAAACCCTATACAGGGTCACTATGAATCGGAACCAACTCCAAGGCACATAACCACCACCACCACCAAAGGTTCTCAGGTGGGGGAGGGGGGACTGGTGAAGATGGCTGCAGGCACAGTGTGACAAGCAGGAAAGGGACGTTCAGACTCACACATATCAACCAATCACACTTTAGCATGAATTCAGACAGAAATACTTCCTTGTCCACTATAACAACTCCTTAAAAGGGGCAGGTGAAAGGGGTAGAGGGGTGGGGCAGGGAGAGAGGAAGACTCATTTCCCCCTTTTTTGAAGAGCTGCAAAGCAACTGAAACTAGGAGGCCTCAGTGATGATTCTCCCAACCCCTGTATCTTATGAATGAGGAAGTGGACTGACAAAGGGCGGTAGAGCTGGGAGCTTCTTCCTGCTACCCTGGGCTTTGACCTGGGGAGGCAGCCTTTTTGTGACCATCATCCCAGAGAAGTCCTGGTGGTGCAGTGGATTAAGCACTGGGGTGCAAACAGCAAGGTTAACTGTTCAAACCCACCAGGTGCTTGGCTGGAGAAAGATGTGGCACTCTAGTCACTGTAGGATAAGCACTGGACTGCTAACTGTAAAGTCTGCAGTTCTAATCTACCAGCTGCTCCTCAAAAATCCCATACTCGATATTAACAACTCCCGTAAAGGAGTCAGCATTAGACATCCTGTGGATTAGCCCTTCTCTGTTGGACAGAGTCTCTGTGACCTGCAGTCAACTTGACGGCAATGAGTTTTGTTTTTTCGGGGGGCAGGGGGAGGAATTTAATATACTTCTGAGTTTAGCTCAGTACAAACGGACCAGACAGCACCCAGGGCTGGGGTGGGGAGGATGCCCAAGGAGGCTGTACCCCGTAGTCAGTGACCATCAGCACTCTTGACAGGGGACTGAAAGGGGTTCTGGTTTTCTAGATCTCAGGGGTGTTGGTCTCTATGCAGGGGTGCCCAAGATGGGTGTGGAAACAATTTTTAAAGTATTTTTTTCCTTTGTACACACTTGCTCCCAGAGGACACAGGAATTTGTTTTGCTCACTAATGTAGCCCAGTGCCAATAAGAATGCCAGGCATATAATTTGGGGTGGGGGTGGGGGGGCTCTCTGGTCTTTCTTGTAAATGTTAATTGAATGTACACATCCTTTTCTTCATGTCTATCTTGGTGAAATTCTATAAGGATGTTGTAAATATTTCTTGAGGGGCTTATGTTCAAAGTTTTTTATATCCAGATAAAAAACCTTGGAACTCTTCAGACCAGAGGGTGTCTGCCTTCAAGTAGACTTGGAAGAACTCAGCTCCCATCTAAAGGCGTGAACGACCAAGTCAGAGAGGACTGCTTTCCCTTCCTTACAATGTTGGGTTCAAATCCTGGAGATTCCCATGTGGGTTGGGTACACCCATACCTAATGCTTCCCCACATCTTTCTCCAGGAAAAGGCTGGCCTGGCCAAGGCACAGGCTCTGTCTGAATCTTTGGCTTTGTCAGAGCTCTCTGAACCCAGAGGTTTGGCTGTACTAGAAGGCAAACCAAGCAGGAGCTAGCTGTCCAGGCGCTGGGCAAGTCCCGCCTAACTTA